GGCTTTCCCTATAGTTTAACCAAATTAAGCTAGCTTAATTCATTTTCTCCACGCATGAAACGTAACATACTCCAATTGCCTTTGGTTATAATACCAATACATATTGAAGAAAATGACTGGCATCAGTCTTCTTCCCAGTTATCAGAAGCTTCCATGCGATGCCATTCCACTTTTGAGATGAGAATTACCACGAATGGTATGAAGCCTTTATGCATTTTAATTTTTTCGTTGGTTTTTTGTACCTTAAAGTCAATCACGTGGGATTTAGTTAGACTCTTTGGTAGTCATACGATGAACACCGTTAGTTGCAAATTTCGGAATTAGTTTGTTGAATTTTCAATGCTCCATAAATATGAACCTTAATACTGTACTAAATTTCCGAAAACACTTTAAAGGTCCTTCGCGGTCATAAAGTTTGTGGCACATTGTAGTTAACCAAGCCACTTTAGTCGTATAAGATGAACCCGGTTCCCATATTCATTTTGACTTTAATTCCGTGATGTATAATTTTGGCCTTAATTTTGCTTACCTATATTCAGAGTTTAACGTGACCTTCATTATAAAAAAAAAAAAAAACCCAAAATCTATGTTAAGCGTTTAAGCTCAAAAAAAGAAAAAGAAAAAAGAGAGAGATATTGAGAGGCGCAAAGTTTAAATTTTGAAGGCTGACCTATTCTTTTAAAATTATTTGAAGAGGGAATTATTTTAAAATAAATATAAATTATTTATAAATATCTAATTATACAGAGAAACAATTCTCTCTGTAAAACGAAATTTAATTTTCTCTGAAAAATGTTGCATGTGGCCTTTTAACCTTATCCGTTATTAGTCAACATAATGAGTATAATTTTTTCTTAATCTATGTAATATTTATTTTAATTAATATTTTATTATTTTTTAAAATAATAAAAAATATAAAAACAATGGGATAAAACATAATTTTTTTTTTTTAAAGAAAACAGTTGTCAAAAGGAAGCCCAAATAATTCGTGGTTATAAATTGTTAGAAGGCCTTTAGTCAACGCCTTCACAAAAGAGTAGGGGATACATAGCCATCAATTATTGTTCTTTAATTGTGATCACTTGCCTCTTGTGATTGGCTCTAAACTACTTGACATTCAACAATTTTGAAACTTCATTTTGTTTTTTCCCCATCTGTCATGAATATTTCCAAGTAGGGC